AATTTTGAGAAAAAAGTCAGAATTCTGAGAAAAAAGTCAGAATTCTGAGAAAAAAGTCAGAATTCTGAGATTAAAGTCAGAATTCTGAGGGAAAAAAAAGTCAGATTTCTGAGATTAAAGTCAGAATTCTGAGATTAAAGTCAGGATTCTGAGAAAAAAGTCAGAATTCTGACAATAAAAAAAGTCAGAATTCTGAGAAAAAAGTCAGAATTCTGAGAAAAAAGTCAGAATTCTGAGATTAAAGTCAGAATTCTGAGGGAAAAAAAAGTCAGAATTCTGAGATTAAAGTCAGAATTCTGAGATTAAAGTCAGGATTCTGAGAAAAAAAGTCAGAATTCTGACTTTAATCTCAGAATTCTGACAATAAAAAAGTCAGAATTCTGAGATTTTTTTCCCCATGTTAAACTGAAATAAAATTTAAAAATCAGTTAATTTTTTTTTTTTTAGTGGCCCTAATCCTCTTCCGTACTAGAATAGACACAACTCTGGTTATTTATTATTTCTCTGGCTGATTCTAGAGTTAACCTTATTCTGTCTTATTTATTCATTATAGTTTACCTCTGAAATCCTCATAGTTTTAATTTAAAATCTTTTCATTTTATTCTGGTTTAAAAGCAGTGACTAACTTTCTTTATCCTGATTGTCTCCTGGTTTTTTTTTTTTTTTTCATTCAGAACATTAATCTCTCAGTAGCAACTGTTGCTGCCCATCAACCTGGGATGGATTATGAGGTCCAGATTATCATTATATAGATAGAAAAACTAAAGAATGATACAGATTATTGTGATGAAGGTTATTCCCAAGTGGATAACATCTCAACATTGGAGTTCTAGTTCAGAGTGTCGACCTAAACCTCTCCATCTCAGAGTCGTATCTTACCAACCAGAACCACGGCTCTGCTGCCTTCCTTCTGCAGGAAGTAGTTGAGGAATTGGACGGTGCAGCTCATGGCCAGGTCTTTGAAGGCAAAGGTTTCTCCGTGGAAAAGCTCCAGAACCGACAGCCCGTCTTTCAGCCTGGCGATCTGCACTGCGTCAGGAACTGAGAAACTGGAGAGGGCTTTACTCACAAGCACTGGAAGACAGAATAAAAAGAAAAACTGTGGTTGTTCATTCATTCTGACTGGTGTGACTGTAGTCAAGAAGAAAAAGCCTCCATGTTGGTCTATCTAACCAGCTTAGTTCAGTTAGCCGTCTCTCTAACTGACCCATTTCTGCTCCATCGTAAGTTCTTCTCTGTCCAAATTTAAAGAACTGAAGGAAAACACAATAATTTAAGATAAAACTGTGCAAAAATGCAACACAGAACCTTTTCTTGCTGACCTCCACTAGGGGGCGCCAAAATCGTGCATCACATATAATTTTGTCCTCAATAGCCATAAATGTGGATAAAATTAAACTAACAAAAAAATCATGAAGTAAATAAATGCAACAATAAATAAATAAATACATTTAAAATGTATTTATGTAACATATCGTTAAATGGTCTCCATAGAAACGGCCCTAATCCTGCCAACAGAGGGGTGAAATGGACAGTTTAAATATTTTAATGACTAGTCGGCTGCACATAAATAAAATAATTACAAGTAAGTTTAACTGAATTTACTTTAAAACATGACATTCAATAATTTAGTCATGCAATGAATAAATAAACTGTATATCTAATTATCTAATGGGACACTTCAATATGCTTTTATTTATTTCATGATAAATTTATTAATTTTATTTTTTCGAGTTGGTCCTCCATAAATAATAAGCAACACCGATAATGAAATGTTAAAATGTACAATAAATAGATAACTATTATACAAAATATTGAACAAAGAGATTTTTCCTGTTTTGTGTTAATTAATGGATTAATTTAATGATGTAAACATGTGATTTTATTGTGTATTATTATCTATGTCCGCTTCTCTCTCCTCAGAGTTTCGTCATTTTCTTGCTTTATTATCTCAGTTCTTCTTATTTAATCTCACTGGAGCATCGAGGCTGCAAACATGGAGTTTCCATTTAATTTATTCCAGTCTAATGAGTGTCATGCTGGATTATCTGCTTATAAATAATCTAAAGCGTTTTATTCAGGACTGATGAAGGATAAGAAATAAATCCAATAAGTGGATATTAAAGCACCAGCGCTGGTAGAAGAGCTGCTCACCCTCCAGGTCGTCTCTGGGGATCAGCTGAGGAGGAATGAAGAGGGAGCAGACCTCCACCACCAGCCTGGGGTACGGCAGCCCCCTCCAGCCCTGCAGGGTCTCAGGACTCAGCGCAGGGAGCGACTCGGGCATGAACATCCCTCCGTCCGGAGCGTACCCAGAGAACAGAACATCTCTGAAGTCCCGTCCATGGACGCCGCCGCGGGTGCTGCAGTACTGCATCCTGAAGGAAACTCAGCATCAACATGTCTGCAGAGATTCTGTTTGTTTATCTCAGTTAAAGAAGCTTCATCTACAGGAACTGTGCCAACATACATGACTGGACTCTAAGCAGCTGCTTCTTCTGATCTGAGACATT